CACATTCGTGTCTTCAACATTTATCTTGTGAGAGATTTTTGGAGTATGTATTTGTTTTACGTGTTCTATTTTGTAATTATTAATGATTATGCTATGCTAATATTGTTTCTTTTATCTAATAGTTTAATTACTCAAGTTTGAGGTAGAAATAAAGAAAAATCTTGCAATTCCAATATCACGTTGCGCAAAATACTTTGAAGAATATAAATTTTTTCCACTTTAAGGCAAACACAATGCAGACAAAATGTATGTGTGCGTTATGTGTATGTGTATATGTATTTGCGTATGTATTTATATACTTCCGTTGAAACGAGAGCTGTTGCCTGGTAATCGTACCCTACCCAATTCTTACCGGAATGTTCATGATTATTAATAAGGTTCAATGATAGTAGGTTGGTTACCCGTATGACAGACTTATGGCGTTCACATTACAAGACCCTTTCATTTTTTTTTCCTTTTGTCTTTAATTGCAACTTGTTTTATAAGAAATTAAAAAAGCGCTTATACGACATTTTGATCACAATAAGTATACGTATACATCGTGACATATTTAAATATGCTAATTTTATAAGGGAAAATTATCATTTTTGTTGATGAAAAACAAAATTTTTTGCATATATTCAAATAACATCATATTACAAACATATAAAAGGTGAAGGAAATACTTCATTAATCATTTTGGATCATTCTAACTTGGCTACCACGATGAGCGGTAAGAGCCGCAGCTATCTACTGGAGGAAATAAATGGGATTATGGCTACTTTGGGGCTCGGTTTCAGTTGTCACTTTGGGGCTCGGTTTCAGTCGTCACTTTGGGGGCTCGGTTTCAGTCGTCACTTTGGGGGCTCGGTTTCAGTCGTTACTTCGTAACTCGGTTTCAATCGTAATTTCGGGACTTGGTTTTAGTCGTTACTTCGTAACTCGGTTTCAATCGTAATTTCGGGACTCGGTTTTAGTCGTCATTTCGGAATTCGGTTTTAGTCGTAATTTCGGAGCTCGGTTTCAGTCGTCACTTCGGGGCTCAGTTTCAGTCGTCACTTCGGGGCTCAGTTTCAGTCGTAATTTCGGGGCTCAGTTT